AACCATGGGACAGTTAGCATGGGACACATTGTTTACCCAAGGTGAATCCGATTTTTTTTTTTTTTTTTTTTTTGGCCAAAATAAAAAATTTTCCCTTTAAATGAGTCAGTTCATTAACAGGGATAATGCTTGTTGTGCAGCTCTGATTTTTTCTATGTACATTTAGTGTCTATATCTTGTTTAACTATATCATTCAATTTCAGCTTATATCAGACTGTAGAAAAGGTGCCGAGGATCATAAAGGAGACAGAATAATTCACGTCTCTCTCTCTCTCTCTCTCTCTCTCATCTTTCCTCATCCTCTCTCTCTCTCTCTCTTTTTTCTCTCTCTCTTTTTTAAATATCTTGTCCTTGCAGGAGGTGGACTGTCATGGACCTCCACAATTCCCTTTCTTTACATGATCGTTACCATGGACACACCTATGCATAAACCTAAATTCTTGACAAAGCCGCCGCGTGGTCTTCCTGCAGTCTCTCTGCCATCTAGCCAGACTAATTCATTATCATAGAGCCTTTTAAGCTTCTCCAAGGTTACAGAACACATGAATTATAACAGCAGGCCCAAATCCTACATCTAAAAATAACAAATCTGAAATCTTAGAGTCCTTAATATTACCTATGCTGTATATAATGTTGTAACCTAAGTCTTCTCCAAACAGTTTTTAACCATTTTCTTTGAAGCTGTCTGTCATTTTTATTTTTGTGTTGTCATTTTCTTTATACAAAGACTCAGACTTTACCATAAGTAAGAATGGGATGCCTTTTTGTGATAGAATGGGGAATACCAGCCCGCTTGGCGCCAGGTGTCGCTAGTGTGAATTCAGTCCTTCCTAGGTCGCCATGTTGGATATTGTATACGTTGGACTGTGGTACTGGCCTTAATAAACATGCCTCAGTATTGTTGTGTACCTGAATGTCAAAGTCGGCAAGGTGGGCATAATTTTCTTGAGGATTCAGGGCTTCGTTTGAAGTGAAGGGTTGCCCATGTCAACACACCTTCCATGTTAAAGGGTCAGTTACAACTTGACCCAGGAACAGTAATTAGGCCCCTAAAGATAGACGAGCTGCCTCAAAAAGAATACACGTAAAAAGGTTAATTGATCTTGGCAAAACTTATAAAGTTTTGGAAAGAGAGCTCCATAGCAAGAAAGTGCCATAGCAAGAAAGNACAGAGATATTTTCTGACAGTCTTCCATCTTTGTTGATCCATCTTCCATTTTTGACGCGTCTTCCAACGGAAAAAAAATAATTAGACACCCATCAATGTAAACTTGAAAATCTGACCATGTTCTGGCAGACCCAGAGAACAGCCTCAATCCGCCCCTGAATAGCCCTTTTTAAGTTGTCTATACACAGATTGGTCTTACCTGGGATTGTGTAGTAATCCATTCTCAGTGTTTACAGAACTATGTGATAGTCTACTGTTTATCTACAACCATACAGAACTGCCCGTCTTCACATGAAAATCTACTCCAATATAGTTCCTCTATTTCTGTCTCTGTCTCACGCCAAATCAACACAAATCCAACGTCAATACTCTAGAATTTGTAGAACAATCTCAACGTTCATATATCCAGCGTTAATATCAATGGAAAAGAATCTGCCTCAGAATAATGGTCTCTTGTGACACTTGAAGATCTCTTCCTCTCTATATATCTGTCTCACTCCAGGTATGTGATGATGCAGGGTATAGAAATCTCCACTGTTCAACTGATAACTGACCCCTACAGCTACATCAGTGTAAATATTTTGTAATATCTTCCAGAGCTGAAGGAAAACACCAATTTACTGTCCATACAGTGTGTGTGAGCTGATCAGTAGTGGGCAAGCATATTACATCCACCCTCGCTCTCTCTCACCTGAAGCTATTCTCATTAAGCGTAGTCCGGTCTTAATTACAGCCTCCGCTCGACTCATCTATGCACAGATCTCTCTAAATCTCATTCTCCGTGAGATTACTGCCAGCTACTGTATCATCAAAAAGCAAAAGGCTGGTCTTATCTCGCCCATCTCTCAACGTTAGCAGTGGACGATGCCTATACCACAGCACATCTCTCTGCATAAGACACTGTATTATCACACAGGGCACAGTATAATGTTATCTGAGCACAATATCTTAATAAGAGACACTGACCAGGATGGCCCTATATAACCTCTTATTTATGATGTATGGTCAATAGTTCAGAGAAACACAGGGGATAGAAAAGGAGAGGGGAGAGAGAGAGAGAGAACTGGATGTTCTAGACTTTAAATGAATGAGAAATGGTATACACATACTTAATTACATTTAGAAAATTGTATGGTTGATTGTAAGTGGTATTGCCTTGAATAACCTTTTTACTTTTGTTATATGGATCACGACAGTGCCTCAGATTGAGAAAAGGGAGAGAAAGGAAGGAAACAAATACTGAATCATATGGCCACAGAATTAGGCAGCAGGCAAAGGGGGGTTGATATTTAATAAGTGGGTGAAGGTTTGTAAAATGGGAGGACAGTTTCGCCTTACATATTGGTATTATGTATTGATTTTAGTCCATTTTATAACATTTTACTTATATAATATAATATAAGGTCAAAAGTTCAGAGAAACATGGAGGTGGGTGGCTAGGTGGTGGAGAGAAATGAGTGTTTAATAAATAGGAATATATATATATATGAATAAATACTTGATTATATTTCGTAAATTGTATTGTTGATTTTATATAATGTAATAGCATTAAATAATGTCTGGCCAATGATTCATTCATTCTGGCCAATAGTGGAATTGGACAGATCGTTTAAGGCTGGGAGATGGAGGTTCGAAAATACATATATGTAGATGATGTCAATAAAACAATGGCACACTTCATTACATTATGACGTGTTGATTTAAAACCACAGGTGAGGTGCATCGTGGGATAGAAGATAACAGATGGATTAAGTAAGTGGGTTGGGTTCATAAAAATATTGTATGATAAAATTTTGGCATCTTATACTTTGATTTTAAGCATTAAAGGGATAACAACTATTTGCATGAGCTTCATATACAAACATTGTAAACAACTCGTAGAGATACAATAAACTCAGAAATACCAACAAAACAGCCATTAATGCAATCATTCTAGAATCTGCGCTTTCCATCAGACCACGCAGACTTCCATAGATGGCTATACCTCCATAATATACTCCTAAAAGATTATAACAAACAAACAAAAAAAAAAAAAATGGACTAACCTTGAATATCAGAAAAAAATACATTAACCACGAGTTAGCATGGGACAATCATTGTTTACCCAAGGTGAATCCGATTTTTTTTTTTTTTTTTTTTTTTTTGCCAAAATAAACAATTTTCCCTTTAAATGAGTCAGTTCATTAACAGGGATAATGCTTGTTGTGCAGCTCTGATTTTTTCTATGTACATTTAGTGTCTATATCTTGTTTAACTATATCATTCAATTTCAGCTTATATCAGACTGTAGAAAAGGTGCTGAGGATCATAAAGGAGACAGAATAATTCACGTCTCTCTCTCTCTCTCATCTTTCCTCATCTCTCTCTTTTTTTAAGTATCTTGTCCTTGCAGGAGGTGGACTGTCATGGACCTCCACAACTCCCTTTCTTTACATCGTTACCATGGACACACCTATGCATAAACCTAAACTCTTGACAAAGCCGCCGCATGGTCTTCCTGCAGTCTCTCTGCCATCTAGCCAGACTAATTCATTATGATACAGCCTTTTAAGCTTCTCCAAGGTTACAGAACATATAAATGATAACAGCAGGCTCAAATCCTACATCTAAAAATGACAAACCTGAAATCTTAGTCTCTAATATTAACCATTCCAAATATGATGCTGTAACCTATATCTGTTCTTAACAGTGTTCTTCCATTTTTTTTAAGCTGTCTGTTAGTTGTATTTTTGTGTTGTCATTTTCTTTAAACAGAGACTGTAATTTTACCATTAGTGAAAGTGGGATACTTTCTGTCTCATAAGTCATCCTTTTATGCCAGTATATTTAATGCTTCCAATAATAACATTTTTTCACCCTACAAATTATTAAACAATGACAAAAAAAAATTGCACTAAACTTACCACTTCATAATAGACTTAATTAGCATCATCAAAAGCACTCAGTTAAAACTGTGAGACATGACAAGTTCAGCTTTGGCAGGGACGAGACTGCCATTTAGTGAAAAAGTGAGAAAAAATAGTGTGGCTCCACCTCCCTCCCCGAGTAATCTTCTCGATAGTAACAGATTACACAAATTATTACAGATCTGCATCAATCACAAAAATGCTACATGTATTTTTGACTCCCAAAAAGTCGGATATCTGCCAATAGTAGGGAAAAATACCCATGCCTGCATTGGTTATCAGTTATGGTTTATCTACTTTTTTGCACTAACCACAATATTCTATGGTTCATAACCAATGTGAACAACTTCATGTAATGTAATTCAATAATGTACATAATAATTATGAATATGCTCATGTAAATGTGAGGAACATGAACTGAAGTATACATATTTACTGACCAGTACACAGTTTATGATGCTGAGTATAAAAAGATACTGTGGTACTTTCCTTAAAATCCTATGATGAAATTCTTAATGAAATCCTAAGAGTAATCCCTTTAAAGGTATCAGTTAAAGGGACCATATTGACTAAAAACCAAGATGTACTAAAAACAAATCTAATAGCATCACAATATAATGCCTTAGAGGGCCTTAACAACAGATGATCCTTGGACCTACTGATCTGTGGATCAAATATGGCAGACTCTATATAAAAGCAAGACCGCTTAATTTCATGAAGGTCTCTCTGCCTCCCACGCATCATTAAATCACAGCTCAGAGGTTTAATTACTAGACCCCTGGGGGACGGCCCGTGTGGAAGTGGAGAGACCATCAGGGAATAGGTTGGCTCTGCTTTCATGAAGGGTCTGCCATGTTCTATCCTCAGCTCAGCAGATCCAAGGATCAAATGTTGTGAATGCCTTCAAAAATGAGGGTTGTACTTACTACTGTCTTGGAACCTCCCCCTTCCCTGACCGAAATTCATATTCTGTTGTGAGGTAGCTGGCTGTTGCTGTTGTTGTTGTTGCTGTTGCTGTGGTAACGGCACCCTCTGTGTCAACTGCTGTTGTAACAATCCTGGTTGCTGCTGTTGCTGTTGTTGTTGCTGTTGTTGTTGTTGGCCAGAAGAACTTAATTTACCTTGACCCATATTCATCTGACCTTGACCTTGATCCTGACCTCTAATGGCCGGGGAAGAGAAGGACAGCGTTGTGGATGTGTTACTGCCGCTCTGATGCTGCGCCCCATGCCCACCGCCCAATTCTGGGGGCATGTCACTCAACAACTGTTTCTCTATAGCATCTATAGCACTTTGCTCATCAAAAGTCCCCCGCTGGCCTAAGCTATGACCTCCCAATAAATGTTCGATTTCTGGAAAAGGCATGTCCGTGGAATAGAGCGCCTGCTCCAACTGTGACAACAAAGTCTGATCGTCCGTCATAGGCTGGTCAAATGTCAGTGTCCCTCCTCCGCCTGCGCCATCTTGGTTACTGGACCGGAATGAATTATTTGAGCCTGAGATATCGTTTTGTAAATCTGTGGCAGTCTGTAAGATCTGTGCTAGGAGAGGGTCGTTGGAGGCCAAGCTGCTGTTTTGAGGCATGGACATGAGAGAGACAGGGGCCGGGGTGGGGGCTGAATCCGATGACGCGGGCTGCTGCATGGCCTGCACGCCACCCGCCATCAACAACTGAGCCAGATTCTCCTGATTGGTGGAGGACGCCAGGTTGCTGGGGCGAGAGGCAGGGATGTTGGTGCCACTGCTGCTCCCCCCGCCCTCGGCTGTGCCCTGATCTTTCACATTTGTGTTGCCTGGGAATGGGGTGTCTGGGTTGGTTTGAGGGTTGTCCCGAGGGTTCACAGTCCGGGATTCCTGGGTGGCATCAGCGGTGCTGTCTGGCGATTTGAACCCCAACGTACCCTGTTGCTGCTGTAGGCTCTGTTGTTGTTGTTGATGATGTTGTTGTGGGTGACTCAAAATCTTAGCTTGAAGGTTCTTAGGCAGTTTACTTTGCGGTGTTTCCGTGGCATTGACCATCGCGCTGGACATCGTAGTTGTACTCACATTGGACTCCTTGCTACGTTTGGTAAGAAGCTGGGCAAGGAGCTGATTCTTCTGTCCTCCTCCTCCTCCTCCACCGGCGCCACCTTTAGGACCTCCTGAGGATGAAGGCTCAGTGTCAATGCATTCGGTGCTGTCGACATCTTGTGTGGAAAGTTTTCGCTTCAGGGCGCTTGGCTGACGAACATTGTCCACATCTGTTTCTGCAGTTTGCCTGGAGAAAGTATAAAATTAGTTGACTAAAACATGTCTACTCAACATAAAATTTAGGTTCTGTAGCTAGTTCTGAGCCAGGCTCACTTTGGCAGTTTAAAAAGTGGCCAAATGTTTATCAGATTAGAGCATTCTAGTGTGAAGCAAACGTATCTTTTAAAACTTAGAACTCTTGAAAAAAACTGATCATTTTTGTAAATTTCACTCATCCCAGATCTAATTTAGATTAAAATCCACACCAGTTTAAAGAATTGCACAATCGTTAAAATAAGGAATTCAAGAAGCACCTGTTCCGAGCTACAAAAGTAAATTTTACGTCAACTCTTAAAGGGATAATAACTCTTCGTATGAGATTTATATTTCACAATAAAAACCTTGTGAATAACTCATAGAAATATAATATATTCTGTTTTACCACAAAAACAGCAGTTATAACTATTATTCTGATATCTGAACTTGTCTTTAGACCACGTTTTCTCCATTGATGTCTATACTCTGTTAAAATCTCTTAAGAGATTTTAACAAAAAACCAAACTTTTTAGAAAAAAACCAGGGACTAACTTTGAATGTAAAAATGGATTCATTAACCATTGGTAAGTATGGGAAAATTGATGTTTACTCCAGGAAAATTCATTTTTTGGCCAAAACGAAGAGTTATTATTGCTTTAATAGTAAACTTCAAGTGAGTGCTTACCTGTCCCACAAATTTGACAAGAAAGTATCCAAAATTCCTCCTCGTGAAAAAGTCTCTGTGCTGCTATTAGAGTTGCTAAACAGGCTGCTGAACGAGTCGTCGTTGTTTTGTTGACTTGACGACGGGGTGGTATCGCATGCCAGTTCGCGCTGAAGGAGACCTGAAGATGGTGCTCCTGTCAGCTCGTTATTTTCCTGACTCGTACTTTCCTGTGAAAAATGGAAAATCATTCAGAGAATCTGCTCAACCTTGAGGAATAGATAGATTGAACTTAGGTTCATACAACATAAAAAGCTGTTCACTCATCTCATCTGAGTTGTATGTTTCAGTGTACACATCTTCAGCCTGCGATCTCAAGGGGGGGGGGATATAACTTTTTATCACAATGGCATAGAAGCTAGATCAAATTTTGATTTCCTTTTTCAATCTCTTTCATTTGCAAATCAGCAAGAAGAGAGAGTCAAAATGGAGGAATCCAGGTTGACTTCCGTAATATGTGCAATTTGCAGCAAGTTCTTATTAATTATTACTTCCTTCTCTTGCCTGAATTTTACTTCCGCATAGGAAAACCACCCAGGTATAAATCTGAGCAAAAGTTAGGCAAAATTGAGTAAAACACCTGGAAGAAGCTGAACGGATTCTGGTGTACACCGTGTTAGAATTCAGCTAAAAATTTGGATATATCTCAATAGGGAAAGCCCTGGGGTGCAACTCAAGGCAAAACTCACGAAAAAATTCAGTAAACTCTGGAAAACTGAAAAGAATCATATCCACAGACTGTACATGATGTCACCATCCAGCTTAATTTTGGCTATATCCTTCAAAATAATTCATTTATTTAGAGTCTAAAATCCAGAAAAACACCTTCTGCCGGTTTTACAAATAAAATACAAAAGTTGAAAGGATTATTTGAAATAATGGTATAAAATGTAAAGAGGAAAATGCACAATTATAATATTCTGTACAGTAATAAATGTTCAATCAAAAAATGTTTAAAAAGATAAGTTTTTAAGGTTTTTTTTTTCAAATCATCTACTTAGCTAAAATACTTACCGCTGCTGCGACTGTCCCCTCCTCCTCGCTCAGCAGGTTTGTTAACAACATGTTATTTTTCTTCCCTTCCAGCTTCTTTTCATCTTCATTTAGAAGTTTCTACAAAATCAAGGCAGACATGATGAAAACTTATTTACCATTTCTTGATAATTTTGCCAGTTATGTCTTCTTTATAGCTAAACTTGTCAAAATAACAATATTTATATCCAAAACACAGAGAGAGTGAGGGGGGATTTGTTGCTCAAATCTTTTCTCCACAATTTATACCTCACAGCGTCCTTTCCCGTGTGCATTTTAAAAGATGTATAAACCTAAAACACTCAACATTATACCCCCACCAACATTATACAACACAACCCACCTTTAAGAGTACATTTTTTCCTGGTTTCTTTGCTTCTGCCTCATTCCGTTCTAAATTATCTCCCTTCACAGCAACCTCGCCATTACTGTCAGCACCACCGTCCGTCGCACTAGAACTGTCGTCATCTTGACTTAACAACTGTTTCAGGATGGTATTATCGGTCAGTTTGTCCTTGACTTTCGTCCCTTGACCACTGGCATCACTGTCAAGGTTATCGTCCACACTCATGGAAGAACTTTGGGGCTCTTCAGGGGGACTCGTGCCGGGCCCCGGGGTGGGGGACTGGTGTTCTGGCGACCGCAGGCGTCCCCCGTTTTCTGAATTTCGCCCAGCGGTGGCAGCACTGGTGGTGGTGATGGTGTTGCTATGTGGTGCCCCGTCCCGACTCATCTCGCGCAAAAGCTGCGTCAGACGCTGCTTTTGTTCTCCGGTCGGTTGCTTCTGCTGGCAAAGTTTATAAATCTGCTCTTTGATCTGTGGAGACCAGTTTTTCATGCTAGCACGAATGTCTACAGTCTCGCTGGACTCCATTGGACTTTTTGGGTTCCGCCTGGTTGGGGTTGGGGGCTGGGGGGTGGTGGGAGTAGGTGGCCCACTACGTGGCCAATTTGTTGTACTACCTGCAATATACAAAAAAAAATATTAATTTCATAATTCTTAAAATTGTGATTGGGCATGAAGTATGGTTCAAACAGCAACAGCGTTGTATAACAACACGTGAAAGTCAAAACTGCAAGGACGAGTGAGAATTCCACCTAATTTTCCCATGAAATCAGAAAATCACTCAAATAATTGCACTCACGGATGTTACCTGCCTTCCTTAAGTGGAGGGTTTCATACGAGCTTGACAATGAAATGCCACCAGAGTTAACGGAATGATAACCCTTCTTTTTTACAAGAGCATGTTGATGTATATGTATTATATAAATACAAAGGAAGTCCTGGATCTTAATCAAGCAAGGAACAGTTAATGTGGACATCCTTGCTAACCAGTTGCCATGGCGATAACAATGGGATGTGATTGGATGAAAATAAAATTTCCTTTAAATAAGGGAATAACAGCAATAATCCCACTTAACACCAAGTGGTCACCTGGTCAATTTAAACTGACCACGTCTAGTTTGAACAGTTGTCAACAGCAAGGACATTGCGTAGGAAAACAGAGAACATGTCATTATTAAGAATCATGATGCCTGGAATTTTTTCTGTTTCTTTTCACACATAAAAAATAAAGTTGATAAACAGAATGGTTACATATCAAAAAGCATAAGACAGAGTAGAGCAAAAAAAAACCTTTGAGTACAAAGATTGGAAGATAGGAGAAAAATTAAAATTTAAAATCAAAAAAAAAAAAAGCTTTCTGCATTACAGAATTAACTACATAGTGATTTACCCGATCTCTGCAGACTCGTATTTTTCCAAATATAAGAGACTTGTTGTGTCATCATTTCAAGCACTGGACATAGAATGGTAAACTTATCTTTTACGTAATTATTGGTAAATAACAACACAACCTCCCACCCCTGAGGGGAGTTGTATTCATAATAAATTCTCACCCACCCTCCCCTTTCCACGTATGGTAATTACTCACTTTATCTGAACAAAATTGGTATTTCTAATTTTTTTAGAAACCCACAAAAGTCGGATATCTTAACAAAAGACTTGTAAAAAATTCTAGATCCAATTTTTTAAATCTATTTTCATTTTCTTTTAATTAATTAATTATTTATTTTATTTATTTTTTAGAAGGGGGGGGGCGTTCATAAATAAACATTATAAACCTCACAACAGTGACTATTTCAGGAGTTCAAAATTAATGAGGTATTACCATATTTTCTTTGCCTCTTGGACAACATTCAGGTAGGATATATCATAAAAAAAACCTCCCTCCACCCCCCGCCCCCCCGACACGGAATGGTACAGCCTACCTTGCTGAATGTGTAAGTCAGACATCCAAGAATTAACACTGGGTGTCAGAGGGGTGGTAGGTTGTGTAGGCATGCCTAGCAGAAAGCTCCGCCCATCATCACTAGACACACTGCCTACAAATCAATATAGGTCAAGGTCAAGGCAAAGGTCAAAGGCGAAGGTCATAGTAAATGAGATCTACATGATATAAAGTAATAAATCCTAATGCGAAGTCAAAAGGAGTGTTCAAAATGTCCAGTGATATACAACATGCATGATTTTAAAAAAATCAATACAGTTAATCCAAATTGTTTAAAGCTTCAAAAGTAAAACTCAAATTGTGCAAGTTGTCCAATATCACGTTAAATGATGTTGAGCAAAAGTGAATTTTGACTATATTCCAAATGAAATCAAATTCACTGCAGTGTTATACATAAACTGCAATATAGGACTTTCATAGCAAAAATTCCTTGCCTCTTTCTGCATATCAGTCCCTATTGAAATAACAATTTGTGGCAAAAAAGCAGGCCTTTTATCTTAAACTTACATCCACTACTTTCATGAGGTAAAACCCTATGATTAAATAGAAATCTTTTTAACACTGATTAGAAACAATATTTGAGAGCTTTTAATGGTGAAGTACAATTATTTCATCAAACAAAGTTGCTCATTTTTCTGCCTTACCAGTGTTTCCACTTACATCAGATTTCCTATGAAGTTACACTGTCTAATAATTGGCGAGTCTTCTGAATTTGACAAATATACAAAATCTACCAATTCTCCCCATCCTCTCTCTCTCTCTCTCTCTCTCTCAAACACACACACACACACGAAAACACATACAAACAAATTAACACACTGGCATAAAATGTTCCTTAAAACAATGAGATCTCAAAATGTCTTCTTAAATGAGGCATCCGTTTCAAAATGCTTTCATTTAATATACCAAATGAAAAAACTTTCAAAAATGTCCAGAAATGAGCATCGCATTTAACACTGTGAAAATCACATGAAAGCATGGTGTTAATTTACCCCTATGTTGTACTTACTTGGCAAGCTTTGAGTGGGAGAAATGATGTCGCTTCCCACGGATAACTGTCGCTGCGTAGGAGACATAATATCACTTCCCACCGAGTTCTGTCTTTGTATGGTTGTAAACTTTCCGCTGGGGTCCATGGTAACATTGGGACCACCAACCGGATTGGCCGCCAAGGACGGACTCCGTAGGCTTCGCATGGCTGGGGATGTAACACCTGGGCTCCTTTGTGACGTGTACGCCCCCGCACCCGGCCCATTATTCTGCCCAGATGCACTGTTAAAGTTCATCGACAGCCCAAACGTTGAGCCGGCACCGGCATATCCCGGACTTCTTTGCCGTGACCCTTGACCTGTGGGGTCATGCCCTGATTGGCTGTTTCTACGGGAACCACTCGTTTGTCTCTGCCTCATCATGGGCCTGCCAAAATTGGGCATCGAATTGACCAGTCCTCCAGGCTGGGGGGTGACGCCGCCCTGGGGGGAGGCAGGGGGCGGGCTGCCCATGCTGCCCCAGGATATATTGGCGGCAGGAATGTTGTTATTCCTACCTCCCTGAAATGTGTCTGTGGTGTTCAAGCCACCAGTGCCTCCACTACCTCCTCCTCCTCCAATCCCTTGAAACATTTCTGCGCCAAACTGACTGTTACTTCCCACAGCGTTACTCAGTTCCCCAGTGCTGCCCCCTATGTCCCACATTCCAGGCTCCATCACCGATAACAAGTCATTCACACACTGTCCAGGGCTAGGCAGGTGCAAATTTAATCCTCGTGATTGGTTGTTTCTATGACGCCCACTGCCAATGAGTGTTTTTACGTTTAAATTGCTTCTTAAGCTCCCTAACGCCAGTAAATTCATTTGCGGTGTGCCCGCATTGGACTGAATTATCGACTTCATAAGACTTGTGGATGCCGATCCCTTCATCTCGTTTTCAGTGTCACATTCCCTAGATATAACAAAACAAATGAACAGATTCATTAAAGCATTCTCTAGATATAATACAACAAATGAACAGATTCATTAAAACATTCTCTAGATATAATACAACAAATGAACAGATTCATTAAAACATTCTCTAGATATAACACTGCAATTTAGTATTCTTTAAAAGCACTCATCACAACCAATATTAATTAAACTTTTAATAGAAGTAAGGATTAAAATTAGAATAAATGCTGCATCTTGAAGAAAATAAAAAATTTTCAACATATGTCTGATTTATGAAACATAGCCCTGGCATTTTTGTTATCACTACTTTACCACCTAAAAAATGGCTGGCAAGTTACATTTTATATCACAACTTGAACTCAAAGTGGTCCACCTCGAGTAAAAGGAATTCTAGGAAGTTTAAAGTGATATGAGACACACAACTTTGGAATTGTCAATTATCACTCCTTCAAGTGTTCAAATCACCATGTGTCCTGAGAAAACTGTTGCCATGGAATCAGCAGCCTAACGTGACGTCGAACGTACTTACGTTAAAAATCTATATTCTCAGAAAATGCACACAGAATATTAAGCAGTGTATTTTTCCTCACACAACAAACAATATTGCAAATGTTGTACATCTGTGGATTGAAGAAAATATACTGCTTTATTCATCATGTATTCTATAAACACTTATCATAAGATAAAATGTGGGGACAGTACATACACTTACCGTATGATAGAATGTGTGGACAATACAAACTGTTCTTCCCCCTCCTTGACCAATTTACTGGTGGAGCGGACAAAAACGTAACGAGTCTCCTGAATCTTAAACCTGTACACTCCACTGGTATCCGATCCATTTTTTAAAACTGGAACAAAGAATATTAAAGAATATATAAAATACTTTTAAGATAACAAGTTCCAACTAAAGCAGCATCAGAATTTATTTCGCTATAGGTTACTTGAAGCAAGCGCAGATATGTGGATTTTCTTAATATTGATAACTATAATGTGTATGCCTTTATACAAGTTTGTTTTTGGGGGCAAGTAAGCTGTCAGTAACTTTTTATCTATTCATCTATTTTTTAAAATGCTTTCTTATATAATCATTATGATCTTATCTATCTTTTTTGTATAACTAACATTATCATTAATACTATGTTCTTTTCTTTTTAAAAATCTTTATTGAGGTCGGTTTCCTTACACATTTTGTGACAAGACAATTTAAGCTGAAATAACAATAATTATCATTTCATGAAACTTCAAGGAGTTAATAATGATATGAAACCCAATTAAAAGAACAAAATCAAATATCATATACTCTTAAAAAAGATAAAACTGATAATACAATTCTGGTCACAAAGCTTCATCTCTTAAAGAATTTTGCATAAATAAAATGTTACAAAGGATTTTACAAAGGAAAAAATACTATAAAACGCTTCTTTATGGTCATTATCATTTTTTTTAGTCTCACCTTCCTGCAAATGTCTGCTTAATTGCTGAACATCGTTAACATGGCAGAAGTCTTGGATGTTCTGGCCCACAAATTCTGTATACTTATAATGAGCACTCTTGATTTCACTAGAAAAGAAAATGAGTTTTGATTAACATAAGTGAGAATCTCTCTTGCTCTCTCTCTCACACACACACCCATCTCTCTCTCTCACACACACACCCATCTCTCTCTCTCACACACACACCCATCTCTCTCCCTCCAAACACACACACATACACATCCCCTCTCTTTCTGCACTTTCCTCCTTCTATTACCTGCATAACAACATTCATTCTTAACATCAACTCTATTTCTTTCTTTACACAAACATACACACACAAACACCCAGGCTCTCTCTCTCTCTCTCTCTCTCTCTCTCTCACACACACACACACACACACACACACACACACACACACACACACACACACAGTGCCCATACCTCATGTTACACATGAGTATTTTGCCAGTGGGTGCCTGTTTTGTCGTAAACTGTTCAATGCCCAGCATTGTGCTCGCTGTCGTGGTTGGAGTCTCACTGAGGCTTAGACGACGCGCAATGCAAACCAGGCACGACTGAATATCTGAAAGAGAGTTCAAACTTCTTTTTGGACTGATGAAAGAATCATATATAGGAAGGCAGTTAACTAATAATCATATGACCTTTGTGATTTACAATAGAGTTTATGTGGTGCAAGTAGGTTGTTGCGTCAAATATTTCCTGTAACGAGGTAATGGCTCATTCACAATTATCTGTCTATACAGAGAGATAAGGTGTTAACATCATTAAGCTAACTGCACTCAGCAGGGGGAGGCTGTGTTCTGTCAGGTATGTTACCCAAGTCTAGGGGGAGATGTGTTCTGTCAGGTGTGACAGGTGTGTTACCTGAGTCCAGGGGGAGATGTGTTCTGTCAGGTGTGACAGGTGTGTTACCTGAGTCCAGGGGGAGATGTGTTCTGTCAGGTGTGACAGGTGTGTTACCTGAGTCCAGGGGGAGCTGTGTTCTGTCAGGTGTGACAGGTGTGTTACCAGAGTCTAGGGGGAGCTGNCCTAACCTGTCCCACAAATTTGACAAGAAAGTATCCAAAATTCCTCCCCGTGAAAAAGTCTCTGTGCTGCTATTAGAGTTGCTAAACAGGCTGCTGAACGAGTCGTCGTTGTTTTGTTGACTTGACGACGGGGTGGTATCGCATGCCAGTTCGCGCTGAAGGAGACCTGAAGATGGCGCTCCTGTCAGCTCGTTATTTTCCTGACTCGTACTTTCCTGTGAAAAATGGAAAATCATTTAGAGAATCTGCTCAACCTTGAGGTATAGATAGATTGAACTAAGTTTCATACAACATAAAAAGCTGTTCACTCATCTCATCTGAGTTGTAGGTTTCAGTGTACAAATCTTCAGCCTGCGATTTCAAAAGGGGAGGGGGGATATACCTTTTTATCACAATGGCATAGAAGCTAGATCAAATTTTGATTTCCTTTTTCAATCTCCTTCATTTGCAAATCAGCAAGAAGAGAGAGTCAAAATGGAGGAATCCAGGTCGACTTCCGTAATATGTGCAATTTGCAGCATGTTCTTATTAATTATTACTTCCTTCTCTTGCCTGAATTTTCCTTCCGCATAGGAAAACCACCCAGGTGTAAATCTGAGCTAAAGTTAGGCAAAATTGAGTAAAACACCTGGAAGAAGCTGAACGGATTCTGATGTACACTGTGTCAGAATTCAGCTAAAAATTTGGATGTAACCCAATAGGGAAAGCCCTGGGGTGTAAATCAAGGCAGAACTCGGGGTGGGGTGGGGGGGTGGGGTGGGGGGGGGGGGAATTCAGTTAACTCTGGAAAACTGAAAAGAATCATATCCACAGACTGTACATGATGTCACCATCCAGCTTAATTTTGGCTATATCCTTCAAAATAATTCATTTATTTAGAGTCTAAAATCCAGAAAAACACCTTCTGCCGGTTTTACAAATAAAATACAAAAGTTGAAAGGATTATTTGAAATAATGGTATAAAATGTAAAGAGGAAAATGCACAATTATAATATTCTGTAAAGTAATAAATGTTCAACCAAAAAATGTTTAAAAAGATAAGTTTTTAAGGTTTTTTTTTTTTCAAATCATCTGCTTAGCTGAAATACTTACTGCTGCTGCGACTGTCCCCTCCTCCTCGCTCAGCAGCTTTGTTAACAACATGTTATTTTTCTTCCCTTCCAGCTTCTTTTCATCTTCATTTAGAAGTTTCTACAAAATCAAGGCAGACATGATGAAAATTATTTACCATTTCTTGATAATTTTGCCAGTTATGTCTTCATTATAGCCCAACTTGTCAAAATAACAATTATCTATATCCAAAACACAGCGAGAGTGATTTGTTGCTCAAGTCTTTTCTCCACAATTAATACCTCACAGCGTCCTTTCCCGTGTGCATTTTAAAAGATGTATTAACCCTTAAACACTCAACATTATACCCCCACCAACATTATACAACACAACCCACCTTTAAGAGTACATTTTTTCCTGGTTTCTTTGCTTCTGCCTCGTTCCGTTCCAAATTATCTCCCTTCACGGCAACCTCGCCATTACTGTCAGCACCACCGTCCGTCGCACTAGAACTGTCGTCATCTTGACTTAACAACTGTTTCAGGATGGTATTATCGGTCAGTTTGTCCTTGACTTTCGTCCCTTGACCACTGGCATCACTGTCAAGGTTATCGTCCACACTCATGGAAGAACTTTGGGGCTCTTCAGGGGGACTCGTGCCAGGCCCCGGGGTGGGGGACTGGTGTTCTGGCGACCGCAGGCGTCCCCCGTTTTCTGAATTTCGCCCAGCGGTGGCAGCACTGGTGGTGGTGATGGTGTTGCTATGTGGTGCCCCTTCCCGACTCATCTCGCGCAAAAGCTGCGTCAGACGCTGCTTTTGTTCCCCGGTCGGTTGCTTCTGCTGGCAAAGTTTATAAATCTGCTCTTTGATCTGTGGAGACCAGTTTTTCATGCTAGCACGAATGTCTACAGTCTCGCTGGACTCCATCGGACTTTTCGGGTTCCGCCTGGTTGGGGTTGGGGGCTGGGGGGTGGTGGGAGTGGGTGGCCCACTACGTGGCCAATTTGTTGTACTACCTGCAATATACAAAAAAAATATTAATTTCATAATTCTTAAAATTGTGATTTGGCATGAAGTATGGTTCAAACAGCAACAGCGTTGTATAACAACACGTGAAAGTCAAAACTGCAAGGACGAGTTATGCAAGTTCATTCCACCTAATTTTCCCACGAAATCAGAAAATCACTCAAATAATTGCACTCACGGATGTTACCTGCCTTCCTTAAGTGGAGGGTTTCATACGAGCTTGACAATGAAATGCCACCAGAGTTAACGGAATGATAAGCCTTCTTTTTTACAAGAGCAAGTTGATGTATATGTATTATATAAATACAAAGGAAGTCCTGGATCTTAATCAAGCAAGGAACAGTTAAGGTGGACATCCTTGCTAACCAGTTGCCATGGAGATAACAATGGGATGTGATTGGATGAAAATAAAAATTCCTTTAAATAAGGGAATAACAGCAATAATCCCACTTAACACCAAGTGGTCACCTGGTCAATTTTAACTGACCACGTCTAGTTTGAACAGTTGTCAACAGCAAGGACACTGCGTAGGAAAACAGAGAACATGTCATTCTAATTTAAAAACATGATGCCTGGAATTTTTCTGTTTCTTTTCACACATAAAAAATAAAGTTGACAAACAGAATGGTTACATGTCCAAAAAGCATAAGACAGAGTAGAGCAAAAAAAAAAAACTTTGAGTACAAAGATTGGAAGATAGGAGAAAAATTAAAATTTAAAATAAAAAAAAAAAAGCTTTCCGCATTACAGAATGAACTACACAGTGATTTACCCAATCTCTGCAGACTCATATTTTTCCAAATATAAGAGACTTGTTGTGTCATCATTTCAAGCACTGGACACAGAATGGTAAACCTATCTTTTATGTAAATGCGGCTAAACAACAACACAACCTCCCACCCCTGGAGGGGAGTTGTAATCTATTCCTTATATCAGTCATAATAATTTCTCACCCATCCCCCTCTCCCCTTTCCATGCATGGTAATTACTCACTTTATCTGAACAAAATTGGTATTTCTAATTTTTTTAGAAACCCACAAAAGCCAGATATCTCAACAAAAGTCTTGAATAAACATTCTAGCTCAAATTTTTTTATCTACTTTCATTTTCTTTTGATTAATTATTTATTTTATTTATTTTTTAGGAGGGGGGGGCGTTCATAAATAAACATTATAAACCTCACAACAGTGACTATTTCAGGAGTTCAAAATTCATGAGGAATTACCACATTTTCTTTGCCTCTTGGACAACATTCAGGTAGGATATATCATAAAAAAACCTCTCTCCACCCACCTACCCCCCAACACGGAATGGTACAGCCTACCTTGCTGAATGTGTAAGTCAGACATCCAAGAATTAACACTGGGTGTCAGAGGGGTGGTAGGTTGTGTAGGCATGCCTAGCAGAAAGCTCCGCCCATCATCACTAGACACACTGCCTACAAATCAATATAGGTCAAGGTCAAAGGCAAAGGTCAAAGGCGAAGGTCATAGTAAATGAGATCTACATAATATAAAGTAATAAATCCTAATTCTAGGACAAAAGGAATGTTCAAAATGTCCACTGTGGTATACAACATGCATGATTTAAAAAAAAAAAAATCAATACAGTTAATCCAAATTGTTTAAAGCTTCAAAAGTAAAACTCAAATTGCGCAAGTTGTCCAATATCACGTTAAATGATGTTGAGCAAAAGTGAATTTTGACTATAGTCCAAATGAAATCAAATTCACTGCAATGATAATTTACATAAACTGCAACAGAGGACTTTCATAGCAGAAATTCAAATTTTGTGCCACTTTCTTCCTGTTTATCAGTCTCTATTAAAATAACCATTTGTGGCAGAAAAGCAGACCTTTTGTCTTAAACTTTAATCCACTACTTTCATGGGATAAAACCTTATGATTCAACAGATAGCTTTTCACCACCGATAAGAAAGGTAACTTTTGAGATTTTTTAATGATGAAGTGCAAATAATTTATTTATCATTATTTCATCAAACAAAACTGCTCATTTTTCTGCCTTATTAGTGATTCCAATTACATCAGACTTCCTATGAAGTTGCACTGTCTAATAATTGGTTACTTCTGAATTTGACAAATATACAAAATCTCTCTCTCTCTCTCTCTCTCAAATGAACACACACACACACACACACACACACACACACCAAAATACACACATACAAATTAACACACAGTCATAAAAATATTCCTTAAAACCTTGTGAAGAGAAATAGAGATATCAATTTCAAAAATGAAGAGATATCATTTTCCAAAATGCTTTCACATCATATACCAAATGAAAAAGCTTTCAAAAGTTTCCATATGTGAACATAGAATGTAACACTTCTCATAAAAGCTTGGGTATTAATTAAACCCCATACTTACTTGGCAAGCTTTGAGTGGGAGAAATGATGTCGCTTCCCACGGATAACTGTCGCTGTGTGGGTGACATGATATCACTTCCGACCGAGTTCTGTCTTTGTATGGTTGTAAACTTTCCACTGGGGTCCATGGTAACATTGGGACCACCGACCGGATTGGCCGCCAGGGACGGACTCCGTAGGCTTCGCATGGCTGGGGATGTAACACCTGGGCTCCTTTGTGACGTGTACGCCCCCGCACCCGGCCCATTATTCTGCCCAGATGCACTGTTAAAGTTCATCGACAGCCCAAACGTTGAGCCGGCACCGGCATATCCCGGACTTCTTTGCCGTGACCCTTGACCTGTGGGGTCATGCCCTGATTGGCTGTTTCTACGGGAACCACTCGTTTGTCTCTGCCTCATCATGGGCCTGCCAAAATTGGGCATCGAATTGACCAGTCCTCCAGGCTGGGGGGTGACGCCGCCCTGGGGGGAGGCAGGGGGCGGGCTGCCCATGCTGCCCCAGGATATATTGGCGGCAGGAATGTTGTTATTCCTACCTCCCTGAAATGTGTCCATGTTGTTCAAGCCGCCACTTCCTCCACTACTACCACCTCCTCCAATCCCTTGAAACATTTCTGCCCCAAACTGACTGTTACTTCCCACTGCGTTACTCAGTTCCCCAGTGCTGCCCCCTATGTCCCACATTCCAGGCTCCATCACCGATAACAAGTCATTCACACACTGTCCAGGGCTAGGCAGGTGCAAATTTAATCCTCGTGATTGGTTGTTTCTATGACGACCACTGCCAATGAGTGTTTTTACGTTTAAATTGCTTCTTAAGCTTCCTAACGCCAGTAAATTCATCTGTGGCGTCCCCGCATTTGACTGAATTATCGACTTCATAAGACTCGTGGATGCCGATCCCTTCATCTCGTTTTCAGTGTCACATTCCCTAGATATAACAAAACAAATGAACAGATTCATTAAAACATTTTCTAGATATAACACTGCAATTTAGTATTCTTTAAAGCACTTTTCACAACCAATATTAATTAAACTTTTAATATTTAGTTAGGACTAAAACTTGAATAAAATGCTGCATTTTGAAGAAAACAAAAAATATGGAACTTATATCTGATTTATGAAACGCAGCCCTGGCATTTTTGTTATCACTACTTTACCACCTAAAAAATGGCTGGCAAGTTATATTTTATATCACAACTTGAACTCAAAGTGGTCCACCTTGAGTAGAAGGAATACTAGGAACTTTAAAGTGACATGAGAATTGTCAATTATCACTCCTTCAAGTGTTCAAATCACCAAGTGTCCTGAGAAAACTGTTGCCATGGAAACAGCAGTCTTACGTGACTTAGAACGTACTTACGTTGAAAATCTATATTCCCAGAAAATGCACAAAGAATAAGGCAGCGTATTTTTCCTCACACAACAAATAATATTGCAAATGTTGTACATCTGTGGATTGAAAAAAAATATATACTGCTTTATTCATCATGTATTCTATAAACACTTATCATAAGATAAAATGTGGGGACAGTACATACACTTACCGTATGATAGAATGTGTGGACAATACAAACTGTTCTTCCCCCTCCTTGACCAATTTACTGGTGGAGCGGACAAAAACGTAACGAGTCTCCTGAATCTTAAACCTGTACACTCCACTGGTATCCGATCCATTTTTTAAAACTGGAACAAAGAATATTAAAGAATATATAAAATACTTATAAGATAACCAGTTCCAGCTAAAGCAGCATCAGAATTTATTTCGCTATAGGTTACTTGAAGCAAGCGCAGATATGTGGATTTTCTTATTATTGATAACTATAAGTTGCAATGTGTATGCCTTTATACAAGTTTGTTTTTGGGGGCAAGTAAGCTGTCAGTAACTTTTTTATCTATTCACATATTTTTTAAAATGCTTTCTTATATAATCATTATGATCTTATCTTTTTTTTTTATATAACTAACATTATCATTAATACTACGTTCTTTTCTTTTAAAAAATCTTTATTGAGATCTGTTTCCTTACATATTTTGTGACCAGACAATTTAAGCTGAAATAACAATAATTATCATTTCATGAAACTTCAAGGAGTTAATAATGATATAAAAGCCAATTAAAAGAACAAAATCAAATATCATATACTCTCAAAAAAGATAAAACTGATAACAATTCTGGTCACAAAGCTTCATCTTTTAAAGACAAAGGAAAAAATACTATAAAACGCTTCTTTATAATTATTATTATTTTTTTTTTAGTCTCACCTTCCTGCAAATGTCTGCTTAATTGCTGAACATCGTTAACATGGCAGAAGTCTTGGATGTTCTGGCCCACAAATTCTGTATACTTATAATGAGCACTCTTGATTTCACTAGAAATGAAAATGAGTTTTGATTAACGTAAGTGAGAATCTCTCTCTTGCTCTCTCTCTCACGCACCCATCTCTCTCTCTCACACACACACACATACACACATCCCCTCTCTTTCTGCACTTTCCTCCTTTTATTGCCTGCATAACAACATTCATTCTTAACATCAACTCTATTTCTTTCTTTACACAAACATACACACACACAAACACTCAGGCTCACACACACACACACACACACACACACACACACACACACACACACACACACACACACACACACACACACACACACACACAACACAACACAACACACACACGGACAAACAAATACACAATGCCCATACCTCATGTTACACATGAGTATTTTGCCAGTGGGTGCCTGTTTTGTCGTAAACTGTTCAATGCCCAGCATTGTGCTCGCTGTCGTAGTTGGGGTCTCACTAAGGCTGAGACGACGCGCAATGCAAACCAGGCACGACTGAATATCTGAAAGAGAGTTCAAACTTCTTTTTGGACTGATGAAAGAATCATATATAGGAAGGCAGTTAACTAATAATCATATGACCTTTGTGATTTACAATAGAGTTTATGTGGTGCAAGTAGGTTGTTGCGTCAAATATTTCCTGTAACGAGGTAATGGCTCATTCACAATTATCTATCTATACAGAGAGATAAGGTGTTAACGTCATTAAGCTAACTGCACTCAGCAGGGGGGGGGGGGCTGTGTTCTGGCAGATATGTTACCCGAGTCTAGGGGGAGATGTGTTCTGTCAGGTGTGACAGGTGTGTTACCCGAGTC